CGAGGGCGCGAAGTTCCTCGCGCTTCGCGTTTCGGCTCCGAGTCTTCCTCATCTTCCTCATCTCCCTTGTGGGGTGGCGCGAGAGCGCGGCGCAAGAGCGCCAAGCGCGAAGTTTGGCGCCCTTGGTTGTGCCGCCATGTATTCGTATCTTATGGGTGGACGGGGTCCGCTGTCTCGCTGTACCTGGCTAACTTGACCCCCCTCCGATTATGTTTCCTTTCTGCGCCTCCTCTATTCCGCTCTGGTGCCGCCGCTCTCATTAAGGTCTGACCATGCTTCCCAGGCGGATCCAGCCGTGGCGACGAGGAGCCCCGCAGAGGCCGAAACTTCCAAGTACGTATACACATCACCTCGAGATTCGAATCCTCTACCCCCCCCCCCTGTAAGACATGTGACACTTGAAACTGCCAGCTTCCGCGCTGAAGAGAAGTGGACTCCACCATGCTGGGCATCCGCCAGGGAGAGGGAGGAGCAGGGGGAGGACGACGACGATGGTGGTAGTGATGCTGCTTTGGGATGCGAACACGACGACATTGCTGTTGTTGCTGAAGACGATGATGACGACGCCGATGATGATACTGATGCTGATGCTGATGATGATGATGATGATGCTGATGCTGATGCTGATGCTGATGATGATGCTGCTGATGATGATGATGCCACCGCTGATGGTGATGATACTGATGCTGCTGATGATGATGCTGATGATGATGGTGGTACTGGTATTGATACTGATGATACTGGGGAGGAGATTAGGATGAGAACAGCGATGAGGATGATGACGATGATTATATTATTGTTGATGATGTTGGTGAAACTAGGATGACGGGTATAATGATGGTGCTGCTGATGTTGATGACGAGTATCGTGTTGATGATGATGACGTTGATGTTGATCATGTTGCTGATGTTGATCGTAGTGTAGCTGCCGATACTGATGATGTTGATGGTGGTGATGATGCTGGTGTTGATGCGGTGGACGTGTATGCTATTGTTGCTGCTGATGCTGATTGTGGCGCTGATGTCGATGATGCTGATGCTAACGATGATGAGGGCCGTTGCGATGCCGATGGTCTTACTGATGGTGATGCTGCTGATGATGATGCTGATGAGGATTGACGATGGGGACGATGGTGCTGCTGACGATTGTGTTGATGATGCTGCTGATGGTGATGATGACGAGGATGATGCTGACGGTGCACCTGCTGATGCTGCTGATGATGATGATGTTGTTGCTGGTATTGATGATGCTAATGGTGATGCGGATGCTGCTGCTAATGATGCTGTTGATGCTGATGATGGTGCTGCGGATGGTGCTGTTGCCGATGGTGATGATTATGATGTTGATGCTGATGACGCTGGTGTTGAGGTAGATGATGATGACGATACCGACGCCGACTTTGACGTTGACGACAATGCGGATGCTTATATGATGATGGTGATGATGCTGATGCTGGTACGATGATGCTGATGATGATGCTGATGATGATGCTGCTGATGATGGTCAGGATCATGATCATGATGATGATGACGCTGCTGATGATGATGCTGCTGAGAATGATGATGATAATGCTGATGCTGAAGCTGATGATGATGGTGGTGAGTCTGACGATCATGCTCATACTGATGCTGATGATGATGATGATGCTGATGGTGATGATGATGGTGCTGGTGCTGGTGATGATGTTGATGATGCTGATGATGATGCCGATGATGATGCCGCTCACGCTGATGCTGATGCTGATGCTGATGATACTGATGATGCTGCTGATGATGCTACTGATGTTGATGATGATGGTGCTGATGATGGTGAAGAGGAGGAGGAGGACAATGATGGCGAGGATGCCGTGGGTGCGGATGACGATGATGACGGCGAGGAGGCAGTGGTTTAGGAGGAGGAGGAGGAGGATGAGGAGGAGAAGGAGGAGGAGGAGGAGGAGGGGGAGGAGGGGGAGGAGGAGGAGGAGAAGGAGGAGGAGGAGGAGGAGGAGGCTGGCGCAGGTGGAGGAAGAGGAGGTAGAGGAGCAGGGTGATGATGATCATGATGATGATGATGATGATGCTGATGCTGCTGATGGTGCTGCTGCTGATGATAATGATGCTGATGCTGCTGCTGCTGCTGATGATGATGATGATGACGACACTGGTGATGTGATGAAGAAGGTGATGATGATGGTGATGATGACGACGATGATGATGATGATGTTGATGCTGATGATGATGATGATGATGGTGATGGTGATGGTGATGATGCTCATGATGATGATGCTGATGATGATTATGATGATGCTGATGATGATGATGGTGATGATGCTGCTGATGATGATGATGATGAGGAGGAGGATGAGAAGGAGAAGCAGGAGGAGGAGGTGGAAGGAAGAGGGAAGTCGAGAGCAATGATGTGAACGTGAGAGGAGGGGAGGAGAGAAGGGAAGAGGAGGGAAGAAGCGGAGGGGAGAGTCACGGAGAGGAGGGCAGCATGGGATTGGCGTCGCGCACAATGGGTTGGCGCGGTGGGGGTGGGGGATGCGCCTTCTACGAAGACGGGGAAGCCTCTAAGATGTCAGGGGCCTCTCAGAAGCCCTCCTGGCCTGTAAGACGCCTTGTTAGAGATTTTTCTGGGCGTTTCTGCGAAGCTCCTGTCCTTGCCTTTCAATATGCCCCACCCTTCGCGCTACCCTTGTGCGTCCCGCCGAGGGGGGGACCACACTGGGCCTCAGGCGGACTATAGTGTGCTGGAGCGATCATTATCGCCGATCCGTCCAGCATCATGCTTGTTCCTCCGTCCCCTCCTCATCCTCCTCCTCCTCCTTCTCCTCAACATCATCACCATCATCATCACCACCATCATCATCACCATCACCATCATCATCACCATCATCATCATCATCATCATCAGCATCAGCATCATCATCATTATTATGAGCAGCACCATCATCATAATCCTCCTCTTTTCCCTGCCCCAGATCACCATCACCATCACCATCATCATCATCACCACCATCATCATCATCATCATCATCATCATCATCATCATCACCATCATCATCATCATCATCATCATCATCAACATCATCATCATCAACATCATCATTATCATGAGCAGCACCATCATCATAATCCTCCTCCGCCTCCTCCTCTTTCCCCTGCCCCAGATCATGTGCAGCGCATTTCACGCTCGTCGAAGGGTGGGGGAGGCGGGGAGACCCGGACACTCGATGTCTTGCTTGCCCACCTGGGGCACCCAGAGGTCCCGTCCGTGCCCCCACGGCCGGCTTCTCATCGGGGCCGCCTCTCGACCGCCCCGGGGTCCGAAGACTCGTGTCCGGATGTTTCCAAGACGTTGGATGTCTGGGGATCTACGGCCCAGGATGAGGGCGCACTGCCCCAACGCGTCTCGGAACGCCCTCGGAGCGTGCGGGAGCGCTCTGGGACGGCGAGCGGTGCCTGGTTCGTCCTCCAGGCCCGCCAGTTCTCTCAGAGATTCCCCCCCCCCCCCCCCCCTCCTCCTCCTCCTCCTCCTCCTCCTCCTCCTCCTCCTCCTCCTCCTCCTCCTCCTCCTCCTCCTCCTCCTCCTCCTCCTCCTGCTCCTGCTCCTGCTCCTGCTCCTGCTCCTGCTCCTGCTCCTGCTCCTGCTCCTCCTCCTGCTCCTGCTCCTCCTCCTCCTCCTGCTCCTCCTCCTCGTCCTCCTCCTCCTCCTCCTCTCTGGATTTGCTCTCATCCCGCCTTCGTCTCAGGGAAGAGGAGCGGTGGGCACAGGAGTCTTCGATCCCTTGCGAACTGTACCCCTGCGGGCATCGGCGCTGGGTCTCGGACTTACCCCCCTGGGCTCCACTGTGCTACAGGCATCCTTGGGATTCTGGACCCCGGCCAGCGTCTCAGAAACCCCTGCAGGGGCAGGGTTCACATGTGGTTGCCCAGGCAGGAGCGGATCCCTGGAGACTGTTTCTCCTGTAATCGTTGAGCCGTGGCTCTGCCTGCCCCCCCCCCCCCCGGGGTACTGGTACGGATCGTATGCGCTTTGAGGGGGGGGGCCCGCTGGTGCTCGCAGGCACCCTGCCAGAGCTCGCAGCCTCTGCGCAGGTGTTCCCCCCGCCCCGCAGATCCCCCCCCGGCGGTGAGCGACGGGGCTGAAGTAACAAGTGGCACGCGCGCCCTGGCTCTTGCACCAAGGAGCTGCGAGGGACAGGAGGCTTTCGCCTCCTTCCTCCAGGAGTTTCCTTCTGTGGCCAGGGGGGGGAAGACGAACGACGAACGAGCGAGCGACGACGACGAGCGAAAATAAAGAGGTCCGAGCTCCAGAACACAGCTGTGCAAGAGAATACAACATCTCCTGGCAGGGCCGGGCGGGGCCCCGGGGTCGGGGGCGTGCGAGGCTCGAGTTCGCCGCTCCTCGGGCCTGCCGGCGCTTCTTGACGTGCCCGTCTCTGGATGCCGACGGTCCGGCTTCCGTGGGAGGTCTGCGGCGGCAGGTCGTGTCAGATTTCAGGCTGCGGCTCGTCGTTTTCCCGACGGCCCCGTCCCCATACCCGAGTCTCACAGTCAACCCGCACAGTGAGGATGAGCGACTTTCCAAGGCTACCCTCGCATCCTTCCCCTTCGGCCTATCCTTGGCCGCTTTCGCTGGCCGCGCCCCGCTCGCAAAGCGTCGACATGGCCTTCCAGGGCCCTTGCATCCTTGACGCGCGTCCTTAGTATACGGGGTGGATGTACGAGTGATGTTGTTCTTGGTGGGGCGGGGCCCTCCATGGAGGGGGTCTGGTGGAGAGGCGAAGCGCAGCTGGGCTGGCGAAACGCCCCCCGCCCCCGAGGTTGCCCAAGAGGCCCCCCAGAGCCCAGAGCGGCCAAGGAGCCCCCCAAGACGGCCCAAGAGAGCTCCAAGAGGGCTCCAGGAGGGCTCCAAGAGAGCTCCAAGACGGCCAGAGAGGGCTCCTCATCGTGCGTCGTTCTTGTAATGGTTGACTGTGCGTCTCCCCGGCGGAGGGGGGCGCGGGGCAGGAGCTGCTCGTGCTCCGCAGCGTGGCATGGCCCGCCGGGGATTCGCTGGACCTCAGGCCCTCGCGCGCGCTCGGGCGGGGGCGGAGGGCGAGGTTCGCGGAGCGCGTTGCCCAACTCGATGGTCGTCGAGTTCGTTGGGATGATGTTGTGCAGCCTGCGTCAGAGCATTGCGCTCATTAGTGTTGGAAGAGCACTGGGCGCCGCAAAGCACTGACGGTGCAAACGCACAACTTTTTCATTCGACAGCGCCCCCGGGCCCTCCAGAACCCCTAAGAGACCACGAGGGACCTCTGGAGACCTCCAGAGACACAGGTGCTCGACGCAGGTCTGTGGGATGGAGCCGTCCGTCTTTCGAGCAGAAGACGCCCAATCACCGCCGGAGATCAGGGTGGCGAGAGGGAGGGATCGGGCGAGGGGAGGCCTCCAATGGATTGGTTATCGATTTATCGCCGATCGGCAGCCGCCGCACTCCGCCGAGGAACGCGCCGTTTCGCTACCGGGGGCCTGTCGCCGACGTATCGGCGATGTATGTTCGGCTCCAGGCCGATGCTCCCCCCTCTGAGCCAGTACTGTACTTCGAGCTCCAGTCGAGGACCGCCGGAGACCGCTGGAGCCCGCCAGGTAAGAAGGGATCAGTGCTCGAACGCGCACGGTCAAAAGCAGCCTCGAGGTCGAGCGTTTGAAGAAGGGGGCCCTTGCGTCCCTCGGTTTTGGGCATCCTCGTCATGTCTTCTGCTTCCTCGGTCCACGGGTACCCGCCTGAATTGGCAAGTCCTAGGTACCTCGCATCCCGATTGCTTCGCGACGGCCACTTCAGGCGGATCCTGCACGAGTCCTTCCGATTGCTCCATACTTCTGCTCATGACGATTCCTATCTCCTCACGTCTCGGGTGCCGCCAGAGGTGGCCTCAGGTGTTCGATCATGGACCCCGCGTTGAACGCAGCCCTCCGGCTGACGCGCCGAAGGCCGCCAGAATCCGCCGAGGACCGTCAGGAGGCCGCCGAGAACCGCCGAAGACCTTTCGAAGACCGCCGAAGACGGCCCGGGAGCGAGGGGCAGCCGGGGGTCCATGGGCGAGCACGTGCGCGGCCCTGGCCGAGGTGGCCCCGGCTGTTCCGTGGAGGCCCAGGAGGCTTCTGGAGCACCCCTCGCGAGGCGCAGGGGGCCCAGAGGCTCCAGCTCTGGAGCGGACATCGGAGGAGGGTTCCTCCTCCACTTCCTCCTCCTCCCCCTCCTCCTAGGATTCGTCCTCCTCCTCCTCCTCTTCCTCCTCCTCCTCCTCCCCCTCCTCCCCCTCCTCCTCCTCCTCCTCCTCCTCCTCCTCCTCCTCCTCCTCCTCCTCCTCCTCCTCCTCCTCCTCCTCCTCCTCCTAGAGGAGGGCCAGTTCGGGACAGCGGCGGCTCCCGCCGTTGGCGGCGGGAGGCCTCCGGGAGGCCCGAGGGAGGAGGAGAAACGCCATGGAGGGCCGCCGTTGGCTCGATTTGCCCTTCGAGACGAGCGGGGGGCTCCGACGACAACACCGACGACGACGACGACGACGGCGACGACGACGACGACGTCGACGCCGACGACGACGACGACGGCGACGACGCCGCCGCCGACGACGCCGACGTCGACGCCGACGTCGACGCCGACGACGACGACGACGGCGACGACGAAGACGACGACGACGATGACGACGTCGGGGAGCTCCCTGTGCCAGGGACACCTTCCCAGGGCTCACTTCGATGGCCTCCGGTTCGGTTCGATTCGATTTCGATGGCCTCCGATGTCGATTCGATTCGACTTCGGATTCCGATTTGGGCTCCGATTTCTCATTGGAGGCATACGAGCTTGCCGATGTCCGCCGATTCGACTTTTCCCGACGCGGCTGCCGATTTTCCGCAGATCCGACTCATTTCGATCGCCGATCCGAATTTCGATTCGATTCTGGGCTCTTCTGCCGTTGTCTCGACTTGCCCTCCGAGAAGAGCTAGGGGCTCCTTGTGCCAGGGTCACCTTTCCGCAACGCCAAAACCTCGGCGTTGGCCAGAGCTGCACTTAAGAATGGCCCTTCGCCGGAGGGACCTTGAGTGCGTGGGTTTCGGGGCGATGCGGGGGACAACGCCGCCACTGTCGCACCGCATGCGACGATTTGCAATCCGCGCCCCAGAGACGATTCTTGCCCAGGGTTAATTCTTGCGTACAGCCGAATCCGCAAGGCTGCTTTTCGACCAGGTTCAGTGTCAAACCACACCTACTCATTTTATGCCTGCGCCTGCACCCCAGAGTCGACGCGCGCGATGCGACATCTCATAGTGTGCGCTTTGTGGCGGTCGATTTCTGGCCATTACGCTTGGGAATCGCCATGAGCCAGCGTGGACCCCAACCAGTGTGCTTCTAGCAATAGATGCAGTGCAAAACCATGTGGTGCAATATGCGTGGCTCAATCTATGTCGCGCATATGTTGTGTGCAGCATCTGATGTGCAATGTACGCTGTGCTATCTGTTGCGTGCCAAATCTGTTGTCCACTCTGTGGTGTGCTAGATGGGCAGTGCAATGTATGTGGTGCAATTGATGTTAACAAACGGGTTGACACATCCCGTGCTCTTGCAAACATCCCAACCACCCACCCGCAATTTGGTTTGCAAAACCCATGCGGCGGCGATTGCGATGCATGCTTGGCGTTGGCTGGTGCATCTCTGCGGCCGCGCCAACCCTAGCACGCGCGCGCAGCGGCCATCTAGTTTGGCGCCACCGACGCGGCCGCGGTGGCGTGACCGCTGGGCGCACCCCAACGGTCATTTCACTGTGGGTCGGCAACTTGTGGGCGGGCGCGGTATCATGGCAACGCCGACTACGGTAGACACGACGATGATAGTGGCGATGTAGTTGGCGATGTTCGCACCGACGAAGGCGCGGCCAGTGCGGTCACCGATGCTGATCACGCCGACGACGATGACGGCGTCTTCGCGTCGGTGATGGATGTTTTGGGAAAAGTTCGACATGCGCGCGCGGCCGACGCGCGAGAGTGGCCCGCATGGTATTAGTTGACACGGACCTCGCCCCCCTCCCAGCACGCGCGCAAGGGCGCGCGAATGATGTCGGCATGCGGCGCCAAACGCCCGCTTGGCAGAATCCATGAAGATGTTGAAAAAGGAAAGCTGTGGTTAAATATGTGTGTATATACATATACCTTAAGAAGTCGCAAGAGCGCGCGCACGCTTTTTTGTTTTGAAAGTTCGCGTTGCGAACCCATATATTGTTGTATGCGCTCTGGACACTCGGTTTTGAAATCGTTACGGAACCGAAGGTTCGTGAAGGATGTTTCATGCGCGCGCGACGACGCGCGCGTGTGCACTTTGTCATTGGTCATTGGTTGCGCAAAATATTCTCGCGGCAGCACGCGCGCAAAGGCGTTCGAACAATGTCGACACGCGCGCGCGCGAATCCCCATTGGTTGCATGTTTTGAACATGTTGACGCACCTATGGCTTTCCAAAAAGAAAACGCAGGAACGCGCGCGCGCACGGCACGTTTTTGTTTGAACATCCGTGTTGCGAAGTCATGTGTTTTTGGATGTGTTTTGGATACTATGTTTTGAAATCGTTACGACACCACAGGTTTGGAAGGAACTCGGCATGCGCGCGCGACGACGCGTGCGTGCGCATTTCGTTACATTTTCTGCAAAGGACTCTTGTACACTTATGATGTGTGATCAAAGAGTGCGCGCGCATGGCATGTTTTGCAGAGGATGGCGGGGGGGGGTGTCGATACCGGCTGGGTTGGGATGGTATGAGTTCATAGTTCGGATTGGCGATGAGGAAGAATAGTATGCAACTTGCAGCACCAAAATGTGTATCGGTAAACCCGGGAGTGGGGGTGGGGGAATGGTGGTGGATCTTACCTTTCCTTAGACAGGAGAATATCTGTAGTGCGATTTGTGTGCTACAAATTAAGTCGCGCAGCATTTGCGAACCAGTTGATGTGATGAAGTCGATGTGGTGCAACCTTTGTGGGTGCAATCTACGTGATTCAATGTATGATTCTGTGTTTGCGCAATGTGTGTGAAGCAGTTTGCGCAACTATGTGGTGCAATGTGTGTGTGGTAAGAGTTAACGTGCTCACCTATGTGGGGGAGGCTATGTGGTGTAAGCTATGTGGTACAGTCGAGTGCGACCGATTGTCGACGCCATCATTTGGATTGCTACCGATAGGATTGCAACCGATTGCGTTGAGCATTAAAAGCGCGCCGCAGGCGCAATCTTCCTCGCAGGAGAAGTGAAGAACCCGTGGGAACACTTACCCTAGCGACATACCCAACCCCTACGCAATGCGGGGCATGAGTAGCTTGGGCGACGAGACATGGACGTGTGTATTTCTGCGACCAGCATTCGGGAGGTCCGTTTGAGTCCGACGCGGGGCCCCACTAGGCTGGCCCCCCTAGCAGGCCTCGAAAGTGGCGACAGTTTCACAGATCGCAGTCCCCCAGGGATGGCGAGGTCTAATTTGAATCTGCGTAGCACGTCACTAAGCTGGACCCCCCAGCAGGCCTCGAAAATGGCGACAGCTTCACAGATCGCAGCCCCCCAGAGATGGCAAGGTCGAATTTGAATTAGCGTAGCACGTCACAGTGCTGGACCCCCCAGCAGGCCTCGAAAGTGGCGACAGTTTCACAGATCGCAGCCGCCCAGGGATGGCAAGGTCGAATTTGAATCTGCGTAGGACGTCACTATGCTGGACCCCCCAGAAGCCCTCGAACGTGGCGACAGTTTCACAGATCGCAGCCCGCCAGGGATGGCGAGGTCGAATTAGAATCGGCGTAGGACGTCACTGTGCTGGACCCCCCAGCAGGCATCGAACGTGCCGACCGTTTCACAGATCGCAGCCCCCCCAGGGATAGCGAGGTTTAGTTTGAATCTGCGCCGGACGTCACTATGTTGGACCCCCCCGCAGGCTTCGAAAGTGGCGGCAGTTTCACAGATCGCAGCCCCCAAGGGATGTCAAGGTCGAATTTGAACATGCGTAGGACGTCATTGTGCTGGACTCCCCAGCAAGCCTCGAAAGTGGCGACTGTTTCACAGATCGCAGCCCCCCAGGGATGGCGAGGTCGAATTCGAACCTGCGTGGGACGTCATTGTGGTGGACCCCCCAGCAGGCCTCGAAAGTGCCGACTGTTTCACAGATCGCAGCCCCCCAGGGATGGCGAGGTCGAATTAGAATCTGCGTAGCACGTCTCTAAGCTGGACCCCCCAGCAGGCCTCGAAAGTGGCGACAGTTTCACAGATCGCAGCCGCCCAGGGATGGAGAGGTCTAATTTGAATCTGCGTAGGACATCACTGTGCTGGACCCCCCAGCAGGCCTCGAAAGCGGCGACAGTTTCACAGATCGCAGCCCCCCAGGGATGGCAAGGTCGAATTTGAATCTGCGTAGGACGTCGCTGTGCTGGACCCCCCAGCAGGCCTCGAAAGCGGCGACAGTTTCACAGCTGGCAGCCCCCTGCAGGCAAGACAGGAGGAGGCAGGAGAGAGGCGGGAAGGAGAGAAGTAAGGACGGATACCTCAGTGCACTATTCAAGACGAATGCCCAACCAAGGAGGGCTGAGAAACACACTGTCTGTGTGTTTTTCCACAGGCTGTGTGTGTGTGCTTGTTTCTTCCGCAGCGTGTCGTTTTTCCACTGCGTTTTTTTGTGTTTTTTTCCCAGCGCGTGTTCTTCCACAGGCTGCAGGCACCGCTTGGGGCATGTGCTGCAAGAGGTTACCACGCGCTGCGCCCGGGCATGCGCCTCCCAGGGGGGGGGGGGCACGCGGCACCAGCATGTCCTCGTGCGCCCCACAGCAGGGTCCACTTCGATACCCTCCATCCGATGCCTTGGCATTGCCATCGCTCGGACGTGTGCATTTTTCCTTCGGCGAGGACCATCGAGGAGCATCCTTGATCATCTGGCGAAGATAAAGCCACGCACGAGACCGAAAAAAAAACAGGGAATGGACGTCCGAGCGATGGCCAGATGCGGTGTCGACTCTGGCAGGTCCGATTCGCTTCGATTTCGATGTCCCGCCGATGCGATGCGACCTGACGTCTGCATGGAGCTGTTGGTCGTTTTGGTGCCACGGGTCCGACTCGATCATGACTCCGTGCCGGTGCGCGCCGATTCGACGCACGTTCCGATTCGATGCGGTTTTGCGATTCGATGCCGGGTGATCTTGCACAGTGTACAAGTGGGAGGCTTGTCCAAGGGGGGGTGTCTGGATCTTCGTTGTGTTGTCCAAGGGGCTGTCCGGGGTAGGTCGGAAGGTCATCTTGGCGTTATCAATCAGCATGGGTTGCCCGTGTTGTCCCAGGGGTTGTTTGGGACTTTTTTTTGATTGGATTCTTCTTCGATTGAACGTAGTAGTATCGGGCGGGGCTGGGACGAGGATAAATCCGTTCCAGAACGTTCTGCAACGCTCTTCGGAACGCTCCGAGAAGGCCGCGGCGCCCGATATATTCTCCAGAGCCCCTGGATCTCAGGGATTCTCGATTTATCATCACCCGATTTTATCCTCGTCCTCGCATCTTCTTATAGTAAGTCTTTCGGCGCCCCACAGGGTGCAGATGCTGCCCAGCGACGTCGCCGCGCGCATCCTGCCGTCCGTGATGCTGCGGGTGCGCCGTGTCTCCCTGCAGCTCCAGCCGGCGACCCCGCCGCTCCCTGGGCCGCGCCCCCCGCCCGGCACTCGGAGGACACCCGCCTGCCGCCATGGGTCGGGGGGGACGCCTACCGAGACAATAAGTCGGTCGAGGAAGCAGTAATGCAGCTAGCTTTGTGTCGGAGGATCGACTTACAGGGCCAAATCAAGTACCCTTTGTTTTTTTCCCCGCCAGGCTTCCGCAGGAGGTAAAACAGGCCCTCGGAAATTTCCCTGCAAGCCTCCCGCGGGGCACCCGCAGAGCATCTGCAAGGCCCCGCCGCTCCCGAATGGGTCACTTGGGGGGGACGCCTACCCCGACAAGTCGATTGAGGAAACAGTAGTGCAGCTAGCTCCTGCGATACCGACATGTTCGCAGACCTGTCGGACTTTGAGAGAGGATGGCCAGGAAAAAACAAATGCCCGATCTCAAAATCGCGGATTCACCGAGGACTCGAAAATCGGCAAAAGATTTCGGGGTATGGTCTACGTTCGTCGTTGCCCCCGTGGCAAAACCCTACCCCGAAATCTCCCTCCCCGAAGTCTCGAGGAGCCTGCGTTCTGTTCTGGCCCTCGCATTTTCGGGATTGGGCGTCTGTTTTGAGTTGGTGAGAGGTGGTGTAGGCGGAGGTGTAGCGGCCGATGCTGTCTCAACAGCAACCGGTTCACTCGACAGTGGCATTCGAGCGTGCTGGTGCAGTCCCCAGTCGGTTTGGCTGGTCGAAGTGCGCTACGCCGGGCACGTTCGGTCTTTTTTTGGGCGCCGACCAGCTGCCCCGCTGGGGTGCACTTTGGAGTGCGGTGCCGTGCGCACTTGGAGTTCCCCTGGCAGCTTTCACTAAAGGGCGTTTTGCCAGAGGGGATTCTGTCCACCCTCGAACGCATGGAAGGCAAGGGGCTCTGGACGGTCCTGAGGGAGGCGGGTCCTGATGTTGGTGCATCTCTCTCTGGGCCTCACTGGGACCTCCAGAGGGGCCCCAGATTTCTTGAAACCGGCTCACGACGAGCAATTTGTCTCTTGTGTTTGGGGAAGGCCTGGGGGTCCAGGACCGTTTCTCTCAGGACCAGGTTGGATCATGCCGCATGCCATATCTATGCACACGCGTATATATATATATATATATACACGGCAACAGAGTGAGTTCAATTGACGTTTGGAAGGGGGGGGCGTTCGAACTGGGCCCCCCCTCCCCCCCATTCCCCCCTAGTGGCAACCGATGACAGCGAGCGTCGGCGCCAGCGCCAGCGCCGTCGGGCAGCGAGAACGACGGCGCCGATCGAGCCTCCGTAGAATGCTATGAAGGCTGGAGCGCCTTTGTACAACTCGATCAGTGGTCGATCGAGCTCTGTCAGGATTCCTTGGGTTCTATTAGAGCTGGATCGAGCCCGACTACGATGCTATTAAACGTGGATCCAGCTAGAACGGGATGTTTCATTAGAGTTGTAGCGAGCCTTAGTAGGACTCAGGTCAAGCAAGATCCACCTGTGGGATTCTCTTATAGACGCTTCGCGTGACCCCACCAGCTCATCCAGAAACGATACCCAGACGAGGTGCCCCGACCAGGGGTGTGGAGGGGCATGCAGGGGACTAAAGGTCTTGGGTAAGACGTCATACCGCAAGAGGGGGAAGATGGAGGAGGAATCAGAGGATGAGCAGGAGAAGGAGGAGGAGGAGAAGGAGGATGAGGAGGAGACGATGGAGGAGGGTAAGGGGGAAGAGGGGGGGGACGAGGAAGGAGGAGGAAGAGGCTGATGATGATCATGATGGTGATGGTGATGGTGATGGTGATGGTGATGATGATGATGATGATGATGATGATGATGATGATGATGATGATGATGAGGATGAGGATGAGGATGAGGATGAGGATGAGGATGAGGATGAGGATGATGATGATGATGATGATCATGATGATGATGATGATGATGATGATGATGATGATGATGATGATGATGATGATGATGATGATGTGATGATGTGGTGATGATGATGCTGATGGTGATGATGCTGATGCTGCTGCTGCTGATGATGATACTGATGGTGCTGATCATGATGATGATCATGAGCATGATCATGATGAGGAGGAGGAGGAGAAGGAGGAGGATGAGGAGGAGGAGGGCGAGCATAATGGCCTGAGGCATCATGGATGTCTCTCTGAGTCTCTTCGGATGCCTTTTGCGAGCTTCTTGGATGCCTCTTGGGTTGTCTTGGGGGTTTCTTGGAAGTCCTGGGGGGCCTCGTTGGGCGTCTTGTGTGTCTGGCACCGCCCAGACACATAAGACGCAATGGCGCTGACATGGCGCCGCCATGGCGCCACGGCGCCGCCCAGCTGCTCACAGCTGCCGCCCGCGCCGCCCCCCGGGCTTAGTCTTGCCGCCCGCCGCCAGTGTCCCAGCTTTCTGCTGGCAACTACGCCCGCTCCCGCCTTGGGGAAAGGCCCCCCTCAAAAAACGTTCTGTGTGTCTCTAGGGTGTTTCTTCGGGATCTCTTAGGGGCATCCTGAGGGCATCTGGCGAGCCCCTTGAGGGCCTCTCGGGGTGGCCTGGGCACCTCTTGGGGCCGTCTAGGGGCGCGCTGGGGAACCTGGGGGGGCCATCTTGGGACCATATTGGATGTGACCGATCAAAGAAAGGGCAGGTTCCAATGAGCTCTCCTCTCCCCCCTCAGAGGCCAAAATGTGGCCAGCACCGTCGTATAATCAACGATTATGACCTTCTCGCCGACCAAGCAAAGACCTAACACCTCGCGACATACCCCCTCCAGGCCCAAGGGGGTAGGGAGGGGTGAACCCGCCCCTGAGTGACAAGACAATTGGTTGGAAAGTGAATCGCTCTAAGCAACTCACGCCCTAAGGGCTGATGGGATTTGGGTTGGACCGAGCCTCGCTGGGATGCTAATTCTCCAGCCCCTCGTTGCGCTATTATTTTCACGCGCGCGAGTATATTATTCGCACGCGCGCCATCTCAGAGCCCGCACGCGTGACGCACGCGCAGCGCGTGCGCCCCGCGCCATATTTAGCGCGAACGCGCCATCTTGCTTTTGAGGGGGTGGTTTTCCTAACAATGACGCCTCGAGGCGTTTTTGTTGCTTCTGGGGGGGCGTCGTTGTTTGTTTTCGTTGTTGCGTCGTTTGCTTGTCATGCACGCAAACGTACGTTGCACGGCACATTACATGACATACATATGCGCATGCATTGCAAACCACATGCGCATACATACTCACGCTGACTGCCACGTTTTCCCAAACAGTATCGGATCTGGCTCTGGATGTGGCCTTCCGCGGGCTGCATTAGAGCTCTGGCTCTCCGCGGATCGGCCCTTAGCCTTGCCCCTCAGCATGCCACGCACCACGTTGCGCCTGACCCTGAACCCGAACTCGTAGAGGTCTGTGAGTGGTGGTCCTAAATCGTCGCCACGGCTGTCGCCGCCCGAGATCGGGCCGTTCCCCCCTCTCCCCCTCAACTTCAAAGTTTTGTGGGGGGGGGGGCGGTTCGAACCCGCCCCCCGTGGACAGGCCACCCACCCCCCGTTCCGGGTTCGAATCCTCCTGGGTGTCCAGGGGGGCGGGCCAGTTCTTCGGGCGGTTCGTATGTTTAGGTTCTCCCCCCCCCTGGTGCAGACGCGTCCAGGGATTTTTGCCCAAGCGAGCGAGCACGAAACGCGTCTTTTGTTTCATATAAGTGTATGTCTATCCAGATAAGTGTGTCTGTGTACTTCGTTTTATTGATCTTATGGTTACACCGAAGCAGTTGATGCGCAAGCAGTTGCCAGTAAGCAGATTGCTAAAGGACTACGTGGCCTCCAGGGGGGTCTAAGACCCCCCTGCAGGCCGCATCTGCTTCGAAATCTTGGTTGGAGCGCGCGCTGATCGCTCCGGGAGAGGCTGCAGCATCATCGTCCTCGTGTGCTTCTTTTTGCTCCCTGCCTCCTGCGTGGAGGCACGACGCGGTTGGGACGGAGCGCTTCCGATGGCGACAGCAGGCCCTCGATGCGGAGCGATCTGATTGCCTGGAGAGTCTGGGCCAGGTGACGAGTGCGAGTGGGATCGCGAATCGAGGGCTCGGCAGCAGACGAATCGGCGGGGTCCGACGCTTGTTCGGCCGTTCGCCCCTCCTCCTGGGGCAGGGTTCCGTGCTGGCCTCACGCGCGCCCGTGGAGGGGCACGAGACCTGGGAGAAGCAGCCGACGACGACGAAGGACGACGACGTCGACGACGACGACGAAGGATGAAGGCCACCGACGACGACGACGACCCCCCTCGTCCTCGCGGCCTCCACCAACTTCCGATGCCCGCGGGCGCGGGTGGCCGTCCACTGGGCGAGCAGCCTCTCACAGGGGCGGCCCCTGCTCCTATCCCGCGTCCCCAGCGCGTTGCACACGGCACCCCTCGTAGTGTTCCACACCCTCCTCTTCTTCTTCCTCCTCCTCCTCCTCCTGTTCTCTCCTCCTCATCCTGTTTTGTTATGTTCCGCGATTCTCTCCTGCATTGTCGCTTTCCCTGCCTCCCCATCTTCACTCTTCGCCCTCTCGGCTCCTCCGCTCCTACCCCTGACTACCTCCTCCGGCCTCCCATCTCTCTGGGGCGTTGACAACAAGAATCTGGAGCAGTTTGGGGGAACAAGGCGTCCAATAGCCGTGCCACTCCAAATCCTCCCTCCTCTCTTCTCCAGCATGCCTCCCTCCTTTCCCTCCCCGCCTCCTGCCCTCCCTTCATTATTTTTCCATTCTCTCTTCTTTCGTCCTCCACCCTCATACGCCCTCCCCTCCATTCTCGCTCTTCTTCTCCTTGCGTCAACCCTCCTCTTCCCTCCTCGCTCTTTCCCTTCCTTCTAGCTGCCTGCTCTCTCACTCCTCCCTCCTCTCTCCCTCCTCGCTGCTTCCCCTCCGGATCCCTATCAGTCGTCCTCTGCCCTGATTTTTCGACCTCTCCTCAGCTCTCCAATTGTTTGTTATACATGTGTTTCCTGTTCCTCGGCAACCCTGTCGTCGTTTTCCTAGAATCATCGT